CAACGTTTATTTATTTTTGGGACAGAGAGAGACAGAGCATGAACGGGCGAGGGGCAGAGAGAGAGGGAGACACAGAATCGGAAACAGGCTCCAGGCTCTGAGCCATCAGCCCAGAGCCCGACGCGGGGCTTGAACTCACAGACCGCGAGATCGTGACCTGGCTGAAGTCAGACGCTTAACCGACTGCGCCACCCAGGCGCCCCAGCAAAATTTCATTCTTTTTGATCACCGAGTAATATTCCATTGTGTGTGTGTGTGTGTGTGTGTGTGTGTGTGTGTGTGTATTTTCCCCATTCAGTACATTGAATATATCCTGCCCCTCCTTTCAGGCCTTCCAAGTTTCTGTGGACAAATTTGCTGCAAAACTGATCTGTCTTCCCTTGTAGGTTTAGGGCTTATTTTTCCTTGCTGCTTTCATGATTTTTTCCTTCTTTGTGTATTTTGTGAAGTTGGCTATTATATGCCTTGGTGATGATTGGTTTTTGTTTAATCTAATGGGAGTTCTCTGTGCTTCTTGGATTTTGATGTCTGTGTCCTTCCCCAGATTAAGGAAGTTTTCAGCTATAATTTGCTCATGTAAACTTTCTGCACCTCTGTCTCTCTCTTCATCTTCTAGGACTCCTATGATATGAATATTATTCCTTTTTATGAGTTGCTGAGTTCTCTAAGCCTTGTATTGTGATTTTCTGCCTTACTTCCCTCTACTTTTTCAGCTTCATTATTTTCTATAATTTTATCTTCTATATCACTGATTCACTTCTCTGCTTTTTCCATCCTCACCATCATGGCATCCATTCGAGATTGCATCTTGGTTATAGCATTTTAAATTTTGGCCTGACTAGATTTTAGCTCTTTTATCTCTGCAGAAAGGGATTCTCTGGTGTGTTATATGCTTTTTTCAACCCCAGCTAGTATTCTTATAACCGTGTTTTTAAATTCTAATTTAGACATCTCACTTATATCTGTGTTGATTAAATCCTTAACCATCTTTTCTTCCTGTTCTTTATTTCTTTTTTTAAGTTTATTTTATTGAAAGACAGAGAGAGGAGAGCAGGGGCAGAGAGAGAGAGAGAGAGGGAGGGAGAGGGAGAGAGAGAAAGAGTCCCGGCAGACTCTGTGCTGTCAGCACAGAGCCAGATGCGGGGCTCAAACTCACCAACCATTAGATCATGACCTAAACTGAAACCGAGTCAGACACTTAACCAACTGAGCCACCCAGGTTCCCCCTGTTATTTCTTTTGGGGTGAATTTCTCCATCTACCAAGTTCTCTCACTCAAATTATGCAGTTTGTTGTGTTAATCCTCAGATCAATTTCCTGGATGTCAAAATGGTTGATGGTGATCTAGCTGTGTTTCAGGGATGAGGCAATCTCAGAGTCCCCATACTACTCCACCATCTTGACTCCTCTTGATATTAAGTATTTTAATAGTCATTTTATACATGTTTTGATAAATCATTTCCTCCTTTACCTCTGGGTGATCTGTCATACTTGAATGAATTTGCTCAGTTATGTAGAATAAATACATTCATACCTGTTTTCCTACTTTTTTGCTTGTGCTACTGCACGTTAAAATCTTTGTATTGGTAACTGATTTCTCTGTATGTAACTATGGTCATTAAGTGTCTGGTTCAGAAATATTCAGAAATATTTGTCCTAGGATCTCAGCTAAGTCCATGGCTGTGGAATCACTCTCGGCTTTCTCCAGCAAAGCCGAGGATGGCAGAAAGGATTACTCAAGACTCCATGAAAGACAAGAGAGATGAGAGGGGGGCTAAGGAAAGTCTCCCTGAGCTGCTCTCAAGCTCCTGTATTT